GCTGGGAGCCTGCTCATTTCCTTCAGGTCGTCCTCTGTTTTCAGGGAAAAGTCTCTTGTGACTGCTGACAGGGAGGACGCTGCTGCATCCCCCACGGTGACTCTGATGATGTTGGAAGGGTCTGAGAGGGGGCTGCTGGGCTCCGCCTTGATGCGAACCTCCATGATGGGTGAGGCGGCCTCCCTGTCGGTGGACTGAGAAGCACTGAAAGACCTAAGGCGGTGTGGCGATAGGACTGGAGTCCGGCCATCCAGGGCTGCTTTCACAACGCCCTCTTTGAAAGCGGGCTTCTGAACTAAAGCACAAAGCACATTCCCCGTTGCGTCACGACCCAGGGCAGATAACCCCTGGGAAGACTTCAAATCTGTGGAGGGTGAATACATAGGAACCTGGCTGTCAACTGACAGCGACATTCTGAGGAAACTCTTGACGAGAGGGCCACATCGGTCAATGCTCTGGTTGCCAGAACCAGGCTCCCTGGACGGGACCACGAGCCCCATTTTGGAGTAGTACAGCAAGCTTCTGTCCTCGCCGCGACCCCCTCCTGGGCTCATCTCTTTCAAGAGGTAAGGAGCCTCCGATGAGCCACACAGGGACAAAACAGGTGGCCATGTTTTTTTCAAAGCCAGCTCGATGACTTTTCCTTTGGGGAGCTGACCACTCCCACCTGGTTTATCCTCTGCAGCTTCTCGGTCTGGCGGAGGCTTTGAAGGCAAGACTGCATTTCTTTGTGCCACATTGCTTCTGCTAGGATCATCCAAAGAGCCAGAGCGCCCAAGAGTCTTAGCATACACCCCCGAACTATCTCTGGGCCAACCCCTTTCACTTAGCGACAGACTGTGAAGCGGGTCTGTCGGCTTACTGGTACTTGTCTTGCTGGCGATGCTGGGCGAGGGCCGGGAAATATGGCTTACTTCGGGGGGCTTTGGACTCACGGCTTTCCCTTGTGCTTCATTTCTACTCTGACAGACGATGACGCTTCTCTTTTGGGAGCTGCTTTCATCCTCCTCCAGGAAAACTCTTTTCCTACTTGGACACGGCAGGAAGGGGGCTTGAGGCGTTTTAGAAACGATGTTGGTCAGGAAGGAAATCCCCAGACTATAGCCGAGTTCTTGCACTGCCGCCAGGCTGCTCTTCTCAACAAACAGAGATGAAGAATAGATGTAGTTCAAGACATTGGCAAAAGCATCTGGCTCACAAAAGTCCAGCTGGAAGACACTCTGTGCCTCGTTCTCCTTACTATTGAATAAACTCTGGAAGTATTCGCTGCTGGCTGCCAAGACATTCTTATGGGCTCGGAACTTCTGGTCTCCCACGATCAGAAGCACATCACAGAGCTGCCCTTTGAGGCGCTCCTCGTTGAGGGCACTCAGGAGAGAAATGGCATGTGCTGGGTTTATGTAATGCAGTAACCCCTCCATTGTCTGGGTTGCTCTGAAAGACAAAAGCACACTATTATAGTTAGTGCCCCTCAAAGGCAGGGAACACCAGTTTTCTTTACATAGGTAAAGTTCTTTCAGTTTGAGATATACTGAGCAAATTCTTCCTTTTTGTGCCTATTTTTTCATTGTTGATCTTTATAGTTCTAGGTTTTGTATTTTGGTCTTTGATTCATCTTGAGGTTTTGGATATGTCTTGTCAGAAGTGTCTCCCATGAAGTAAGAAGTGTCTCCCACCTCCAAGGAGGAATACCCTATTTTCCAGAATTCTCAGAAGGCCATGCCTACAGAGGCCTCATTGGCTATGTCTGATTGACAGACTAGACTCCACCCCTTCACACTTAATCCTCTCAAGTCCCAAATTGATACCAGATTAAGAAACTTCCACAATACCCAACTATGAACTATAAAGATCAACAATGAAAACATAGGCACAAAAAGGAAGAATATGCTCAGCATATCTTAAACTAAAAGAACTGAAGACAAATATCAAGCCTCAAGTTGTAATATTGAAGAACTCTACACGGAAAATATTGATGACGCAGGAAGTGCCAAAAGCTTATGGAAAGAATACAGTCAATGTGCCAAAAAGAACTGGTCAACATCCAACCATTTCAAGAGGTAGCACATGACCAAGAACCAAGTACACTTAAGGAAGATGTCCATGCTCACTGAAGGCATTAGCAAAAAATAAGGCTCTAGGAATTGGTGGAATACCAACTAATATTTCGACAAACTGATGAAGTACTTAAGGCACTAACTTATCTACGCCAAGATATATGGAAGGCAGCTATCCAACAGGAAGAGATCAGTCTCTGTGCCCATTCCAAAAATTACGCTTCAACAGAAAGCAGAACTTATCAAACAATATGATTAATATCACATGTAAGTAAAATTTGCTTAAGATAATCTAAAAATGGTTGCAGCAGCACATTGACAGGAGCTGCCAGAAATTCAAGCTGGATTCAGAACAGGATGTGGAGTAAGGGAAATAACTGCTGATGTCAGATCAATCTTGGCTGAAAGCAAAGACTGCCAGAAAGATGTTTACTTATATTTTATTGACGATGCAGCAGCAGTCGTGAAGATGGGACATGTCAGAAGAGACTAGTTCTCAGAAAAGGACATTATGTCTGAGAGTCAGTGAAAAAGACCCTCAACAAGATGGAATGACAGTCATTGCAACAATGGGCTCCAATAAAGAATTGTGAACATGGCATAAGACTGGGCAGTAATTTGTTCTACATAGGGTACCAAGGGTCCAGAACCCACTGGAAAGCACTTACCACCAACTAATGTAAGCTTAATGCTTATTAGTCTTAGAGAGGGATAAAGAATTTACTTTTTTAAAAAAGATGGAAATATTTCTAAAAAGTTTTCCAAAAGAACTTTCTAAAATGGGTTAACCTACTTGTTTCACTTTTTAGACAAGGTTTACACATGATGCAAGGTCCTTATTGACAACTCAAGGTCAAGATTATGAACAGTACCTGGACTAAGCTGTCATACATTGATGCCTTCTGATGCTAGAGTTCAACACAGCTGTAAGCTCTTGTACTAAAAAACAAACAAATAGACTGATGTATTGTGTGAGGTTAATCTTATACAGTGATAGCTTGGTTGTCAAACTCAATTTGTTCCAAATTCGTGTTTGAACACCAAAAAGTTCAAGAATGGAACATGTTTTTCTCTTAAAAAATAATAGAAAATCAAATTTTATTTTGAAGGCCAAAAATTACACTTAAGAATCCATTTTTCCAGGACTTTAAATAACTATGGAGGCTTTCAGCCGTCTCACTTGGAGACGCTATAACCAGAGTTGTTTCTGATTTATTCAAATTAACGGTAACTCTTCAACCTCTTCAATGGTCTGGGTTCTTTGTTTTCCTTGTCAATTTCACACCTTCTGCTACATTAGCCATTTTAATCATATATTTTTTTATGTTGATAACGAGAAGTTAGCCATATTGTATTCAGCTGCCGAATCAAACAAGCGGTTACCTGATTAAAATTTTGGAATGATTTCTTTCTTTAACTATCATGGTTGTCAGTTTTCCTCTTAGCTTCACTGCTGGTATCCCTAACTATTCTTTGTAGCCCTGGTCACTATGTAAACAAACAAACAAAAGAAAACAGAATGATGAATGTTTTAACACACTAACACGGCACTATAGCTTGTCTGAACAAGAGTGGCTCTTAGACGGAAGTATCACCCTTTGTGTCAGCAGCAAGATGCGGCTGGGGAATCACTCTCAGCAGGTACAGGAATTTTCAAGTTGGGTTTTAGGTTCTACCAAGGAGCAAAGTAACGAACACCAATCAGATTCTCCCCCCCAGAACTTTGAAGCCACTCAGCAACCGAGGAATCCTCTGCTTCCTCTCCCTCGGTAGGGCAATCTGCTTGGCGCACATGCCTCCAAAATCACCCCCTCCCCCCGAACGCGCAGTGAAGGTGATTTTCTCCAGGACCATACAGTCTTTAAGCTTGAAAACTGGGATCTTCTGTAGACAAGCTATTTTTTGAGCTTGTTCCAGATAAATGGAGCCCGGATGAGAAGGAGCTCTCAACACAATGAGTTGCGCTGCTATTCACAATGACAGGGGTTCGAATCCACTAGCCACTCCTCAGGAGAACGATGACGCTGTCTGTTTCCGTGGAAATTGAAAGACTTAGAGGCCCCACGGCACAGCTGGACTCCATGGCAGTGAGTCTGTGTGGGTGGGCTGGCAAGAAAACCCTTGACAACTCCCTGAGGGGCTCCAGCGCAGCTCTGGCCACTGGGGTCCCAGTAACAGGTGCGGTGGGCTGGGGCTGGACACCCTTCCCTTCCCCAAAGCATCAGGGCAGGAGGCTTTCCCCGACGGGAAGAGCAGGAAAGCTGGACGTTAAGCGGTGAAAATCGGAGACCAGGTCTTCCTTCACGGGGTTCTGGGTGGAAACGGATGTGCTCAGATGTCCAGACTCCCAGCCCCTGGGACCGGATGGAGGGGCATCCCTGCGAAGGCCCGCGAACCGCGCTTCCTCTCCCGCTTGCTCGCACATACCTCACGGTCAGGCCGACACTGGCAGGCCTCACCACCAGCTCCGAACGGGGACAAGCGCCCTTCCCGGGACGACGTCTCATCGCCCTACACCAAAGGGACGACGTCTCATCGCCCTACCCAAAAGGGCTCACTAGCCCACGTGTGTTAACAATCCCAGCCGCCACAACTTGCCCGGTGATGACTCCCCGAGCCCGCAGCGGAGAGGGAGCATGCGCAATGTCGAAAGCGAGGCCAAGAGCAGGACGGAGGCATGCGCAGTGTGACGGCAAGGACGCCAGCGTGGGGCGCCAGACTTGCTCCGCGGAAAGACCACGTAGCGCGCACGCGCAGAAACCTAGGCCTCAACCCTCTGGTAGAGGGGGGAAAAGAAATCGCTAGTTACATCAGGAAAGGCCGCGTTTTGCGGGGAGACTGTAGCCTACCACGGGCCCGTCGTTCGCACGCACGGAGCGAGGGGCAAGACAGGTACTCACCGCTCTCCGCCCCGAGGCAGGCGCAGGGCCCCCTTCCGCTCACACTCGGCTCGTGCAGACCGCCTCCGCTGCTGCCGCTGGGATTCTAGCACTGTTGAATTTGACGTCACGCCACACGCCGGATGAGGTCATCGCAGACGTCGGAAGGCACTTACGCAGCACTGTGATTGGCCGCCCAGCCTTAAGGGGCGGGAGGTGGCCGTGGTGGGGTTAAGCTAAGGAGGGTTTGACGCTAATTGTGTCCCCGCCCAGGTCCACGACTTCTGAACTGAACAGAGGCGGTCCTCACGGATCTTGTCCCTCGTCCTGCCAAAGGACCTATCAGTCAGTAGGCAAATTTTTTTGTTATTGTTATTACTTTTTATATCATACTCGGGCACTCTGATGAAAGTTTATTTTGTTGGTCAAAAATTTGTAAATGCCTCCACGATGTTCCTTCGCGGACTACGGTGCACCTAACCCAAGCTATGGCTTTCTCCATTGCGTCATAGCTAGTGAACGTTGGACACTGAATATGGAACACCGAAGAACTGATGCATTTGAATTGTGCTGAGAAGAATATTGAAAGTACCATGGACGGCCAAAAGTACAAACTCATCTGTATTGGAAGAAGTTAGGCCAGAGTGCGCCTTAGAGGCAAGGTGGCAAAACTTGGTCTGATGTACTTTGGACATGTTTTCAGGAGAGAAGAGCCCTTTGGAGACGGACATCATGCTTGGTAGAGAAGCAGCCAAGGAGATGAAGACCCTCACGGAGATGGATTGACCATCAATGGGCTCAGGCTTAGAAACAATTGTGGGGTTGGTGCGGGACCCGGCAGTGTGTTGTTCTGTTGTGTTCTTAAAGTCGCTATGGGGCCAGACTGACTTCAATGACACCTAAACACAACAACAAGTAACTATAGTCAGTGAATGAAGAGCATGTTGATTGTTTTATTCGGCAGGTGTTTTTTTTTAATGTGTCTAATTGGCAAATATTTGGTATAAAGTTGACCTCTCCTTGCTGGAACTTCTTAATTAGCTGGTAAAGATGTTCCTTTGAGCTTGCTGATTGTAATTAATGTTTGCACACATAGATGGCACGTTTTTCTTTGGAAGTATTTGGGACACCTACTTCTTTATGCAGTTGTGAAAATAAATTAAAATGTTTTAATCTATTCCCCCGAGAACTCATTTTGGAATCACTCTCTTTATTTGGGCCAGGTGGGGGGGGAGTAACAAAACATAATACATATACACATGGGACACTATAAGAAAAGATGTTTTGCGGTGCCATGAAGTCGGTTCTGAATCACAGTGACCCACTGTACAACATAACAAAATACTGCCTGGCCCTGCGCCATCATAATTGATCTTATGCTTGAGCACACTGACGCAGTCACTGTGTCGTTCCATCTCATGGAGCGGTTTCCTCCTTTTCGCTTCCCCTCTACTTTACCAAGCATGATGTCCTTCTCCAGGGACT